CATGAAGATGGCCTAACCATCCTCTCTCTCTCTCTCTCTCTTCCTTACTGCTGTTCATGTTATTGAGCTGTCACAATTCTCATAAGAATTTGGAGATTCAGTTTTTTATTTATCAAATTTTTCTGGAGACAGGCTTTGTCGGAAAGATATTCAGAAACTGTCTGGTTTAGATAAAATGGTAGCATAGGATGTTGTTGCATAAGTTTTACACGCCATGAAGTTATCCGTTTTCTGCTTAAGAAGCACATATCTTTGATTATATTTTCTGCTTTTGAAAAAAATAAGGTTTTTGCTTATTTATTTGTCATATGTTTAGCTAAAAATTGATTTTTGATATTAATGGCATCATATTATGTTTTCCTGTGGATCGCTGTGTAATTTGATTGTAATGAATTGACACATGCGAATACCGCAGGTCTAGATTATCTGATTTTATTAGTTCTCTTTGGAAACATGTTTCAGATACAACATCCAAGGTCGCATCTGAATAGGTTTGATTTGGTGATAACTCCTCTCCATGATTATTACCCCTTGACTCCGGAGGGACAGGGACAAATTCCTTGGTTTCTGCGGAGGTGGATTACCCCACGTGAACCACCTGGCAGTAATGTGGTGAGCATCTTGGTTGAATAGGATCTGTACAAATGCCTTTTCTAGAATAATTGTGTTGACAGGTTCACTTCTATGAGTTTCAGGTTCTCACAGTGGGAGCACTTCATCAGGCGGATTTCACTGCACTTAGGAATGCTGCATCTGCCTGGCATGCTGAATTAGCACCACTTCCGAGACCTTTGCTTGTGGTTAATATTGGAGGCCCTGCAAGTAATATTTTTCATCTAAGAATCCGTCATGATTTTCATGTTGTCATCTTTATAAGGGGATGACTGTGATGGATTTATATCATTTTTAATGTTGTGGTTGCCTTTTTATTTGCTTTGTAGTTTTATGGAATTGCTTACAGGATTACCAGCAAAAGTCATTCTGTAATGTGTAGTTTGATTATATAAATCCTGACATTGCTAGGAAATCACATTTTTTAGTGCTGTACTGTTTTATTGAGTACAGCTATCTTTCATACTTGTGATCTGGTGTTGCTATGTCAGTAGCTCAAGAGTTATGTGTTTGTTAAAGTTACATTTTGAACCTCTCTTGTATGTTTACCTTGGTCAAGCTGTTTCTCCCTGTATGTCTTTTATTTAAAAGATAATCAAAATGCATCCATATTGTTTTCATAGGAAACTGTTCATATGGTATCGATCTTGGGAAAAGGTTAGCAGCTATGCTGCAGAATGTTCTTTGGAGCTGTGGATGTGTGAGAATATCTTTCTCTAGGAGAACTCCTGAGAAGGTACTAGTGCTGCTTTGAGAGTAGATCCTTTAGAGGCTTTATGGACGCATACTTACTTTCTCTGGTACACGTTTTCAACAGTTGTCCAGAATTTTGATGAAAGAATTCAGTACTAATCCAAAAGTCTACATTTGGGATGGTGAAGGTACTTAGTTGCCTTATTCTTAGAATACATGCATCTAATATGTATCTATGTGTGTACAGAAGAGGGGAAGTATTGATGTTTTATATTTTATTTTTTATGTAATACTGCTTAGGTTGTAATCCACACATGGGCCATTTAGCCTGCGCGGATGCTTTTGTAATCACAGCGGATTCAGTCAGCATGTTGAGTGAGGCTTGCAGTACCGGGTATGTTCCAAGTATGATGATAATGAAGGTCACTTTTTCTTTTCATTTTTTGAAAAGGAGAAATTTAGGTCACTTATTTACAGTTGTTTTAAATATTCCTTTCTTTGGTATGGGATTGTGTGTTTCTAAAAGTTCATAATTTTCACTTCAGCAAACCTGTTTATGTGATCGGTGCTGAACACTGTGTGTGGAAGTTCGCAGACTTCCAGAACTCCCTGCAGGAACGAGGAGTGGTTCGACCGTTCACTGGTAAAGAAGACGTAAGTCCGTCGGCATACTGTTGTAGAATGATAGTGTTTTGTTGTGAAATAATTTTTGGCCATTCCTTACTCTTTTGGTTAGTAAATGAGGAAAGAAAGGATGTGAGAGGCTCTCTTTGAAGAGGAGGGTGGTTGTTCTTAACAAAGTTTACCTTTGGTTATTAATATGAGGTTTTTTTTTTTTCTTTTTCTTTTTCTGTTTTTGTTTCCGTAGATGTTCAAGTCTTGGAGCTATAAACCCCTCAATGACACAGCAGAGGCCGCCAGTCGGGTGAAGATGGCACTTGCTGAGCGTGGATGGAGCATATAGTAACTTAGGTAAATGAGCTTGCCAAGCCCTTTGTCTAGCTTACTTCAGTAGTTTGTTTGACCCAGTTTTGTCCAATTCATCTTTTACCAATGTAACTATTATTTTGTATTAAATTTTGCTGTATCGTGCCCCAAGGTTAGGGAAGGCACGTCCTTTTGAATTTGCTTTTATCCTGCGATCAAGCCTTTGGGGTGTTGCCCATAAACAATTTCTTCAATAAAAATAGCAAATGAAAGAAGCAAGATCAAGGACACATTCTTCACCTAGAGATGCAAATTTTTTTTTTCCCTAAACATGGCCTGTCCTCGCCATATGTTGCTTCTGCTTTCAAGTGCGGTTAAAAGCGGCTTCAAGGAACTAAGTTGTTGAAATTTTTTGAGTGTTTGAACAATCTTTCTTTCTTTTTCTTTTCCTGTTTCCTCATTGCAAGCACATCACGCTTACAACACATTCTGTGGGGCCCACACTTAATAAGGTGGGCTCCGGATTCTTGTAACTGAGATAAACTTCATTTGTCACGTGATGAGAGAGATTACAGAGACAATGGGCTATTGTTCCTTTTTTTTTTTTTTTTTTTCCCAAACACAGCTCCATAACATGACTCATGAGCTCGACAATTGAAGATTACGTATATTATGTGGCTACGCATGCAAAGGAAAAACAATATTGGTAACCTGGACAACCTTAAAGTGTACGCAAATAATGTGGTTTACACTTAACAATGATAGAAACAACACTTTTCTCAGACCAAAAAAAATTAAACAACACTTTTCATTGTTGGGTTAGGGAGCCCTAGCTGTGGTTTAGTTGAGTGATTAAAGAGAATAAAGTTTCTTAGTTAGGAAGCCCTTTTGACTTTTTAAATTATATTACTCTTTTAATAGAATTCAACTTCCCTCTTCTGCATTATATCATCAAAAGCTGAAAGTCCAAACGGTATGCATCATCAAGCTTTTCCATCCACTCCTCCTTTTAACAACATATTATTTTATTTTAATTTATTTTTGTGAAGAAAAAAAAACATATAATATTGAAGTGGTTACTACTTGATCCATCTGCCAGATAAAACCTCTTCACTTGCTCTATGAACAAAAAGTCATATCAACAACTCTCCTTTGCCTCCCATTAGCTGATTAAATTACAAACTAATTTGTATTATTGCCAATTTTAATCTACTAATCTCTTATAATTTGCTACACTATATAAAGCCTCTCATGTTAAGCAGTTTTCATCACAAGCTTCTGAGTCTCTCCCGTTCAGCAATTCTCATCTCCAAAGCCTTTTAGCTTATTTTTTTTGCCTGTTTCTCTCTTAGCTAGATTGATGTTCCCCATCATGAGGCCAGCGGTGGCGGCGCATCGAAAGGAAAAGGGGCAATTCTGACAGTCCCTGCAAGGCAAGAGAAGGGAGGGATGAGGAGAGGGATGGCCATAATTGACTTGGTTTTGAGGATTGGTGCTGTAGTGGCTGCTCTGGCTGCTGCAGCCACCATGGGAACAAGTGATCAAAACCTTCCTTTCTTCACCCAGTTCTTCCAGTTTGAAGCTAGCTATGATGACATGCCCAGTTTCCAGTATGTCACTTTCAACCTCTCTTTACAATCTTGCATTTTACATTGTTAGACTATCAATCTGAACCATTATTTGCATGTGACATTGTTAGACTATCAATCTGAACTATTAATTCGATGAACAATTGTTTCTATCTGTGATGCCAGATTGACAATTTAGCGACATAACATACCTATCTATTATCTAACACACTCATGCATGCAATGCAGGTTTTTCCTCATAGCAATGTCACTCGTAGCTGGCTACTTGGTGCTCTCAGTTCCCTTCTCCATAGTCTCCATTGTTCGCCCCCATGCAAGTGGAATAAGGCTCTTGCTCCTCATCCTTGACGTTGTAATATTCATTAACCTCACAATCATGCTTAAATCCTCACTAATTAATTTAATTAATCTGTGTATAATAATACTTATGATGATCATGACAGGTGGCACTCACCCTGGCCACTTCTGCTGCTGGGGCTGCAACTGCCATAGTCTACTTGGCTCACAATGGCAACTCAAGCTCCAATTGGCTTGCCATCTGCAACCAGTTTGGTGATTTCTGTCAGACAGTCAGCGGGGCTGTGGTGGCTTCGTTTGTTACTGTTGTCACCTTCATGTTCTTGATTCTGCTGTCTGCCGTGGCTCTCCGAAAGCATTGAGACAAGATATGGAAGGGGAAACGCTCTTCAAAAATGACTGTGAACGCTGTTTATGATTCTGTTTTGGTGCTTTTCTGCATAAGTGCCTTTTCAATTGTTGTGTGAATTTGGTTGTAGTTCATGTAATTTACTTTGTCTAATGCAAATTGAAAAAATATCGTAATGGAATTTACTGTTCTTCCCGACTTGCATCCTTTTGTCAACTGGTGGTTTTTCTTTTCCTTGTCTCTTCAATTTTCAACTTAAATTAAAAATTAAACATCATTTGCCGTGAATTTGATTCCAACTCTCCAAAGTCTTCCCCAAAAGAATTGAATTCTGAACTTCTATATGGTCTATGAATCAAACCTGGACAAAACAAGGACTCATTTATCAAATATCAAGAAGCACACTGGGGGCACGAAACTTGACCCCCTGACTCATAGAATCAATTTAAGGACGTCTTGAATAAAATCAGCGGCCACCGGGGCATCTCTACCCAAGTCACACAAACCATCATGATGATGATGATCAGAGATGGTCAGTCCACAACCACTATATTTTGATATCTGGGGTCAGAGATGGCTGCTTCCATGACATGATCCGGGCCAATTTTCCTGTCATTGTCCAAGAAGGACTTGACCAAATTGTCGTTGAAGCGGTTCATCATCATCATCCCATGCAGTGCATAAGGCGCAAATGCAGGCATGCTGTTGTTCGTTTTCCAAAACACAATCTGTGGCACCTCATCGCCGTACCCTTTGTCCTTGAACTTTCTCTGTATCTCCTCATACTGCATCTTCCAGCAGTAGAAACGACCATCGCAGCCGGGAGTCTTATCAAAGTCTTCGCAGCTGGTGAACACGAGCACCCTCCTGATCATCTGCTCCGGCTTCAAATCATTCTTCACAGCAACCTCCAAAACAGAATCAATCACCACCTCCAAATCAACCTTCCACTGCGTGGTGTCCTTCAAAATCTCTAGCTTGGCCTTGAGATCGCCTTGTAACGAATGCAGCTGCGGATTTCGACTGAAATTCATCAACTTTCCTTTCCATGGCTCTTCACTCAGTTCGGAGATCATCACTGCCAACGCCACCGCCGCATTTCCATAGTTGTCATGCACAGCCAAGCAGTTTTTGAACTTGCCCTGCTTTCTGATGTGCTCCACCATTGCCTTCCACTGAAGCTCGGCCACTTCGAGAAGGTGCCAGTGGTTCGCATAGCAGGCGATCTCATGTGGAAGCAAAGCACCGGCCTCAATCTTTGACTTGCCGCAACCGCCGGCTGCTTTCACTTCCTCCAAATACTTCTTCACCACACAGGGCTCCCGCTTGGACTCCCGTTTATAACCCCACCTGTTGAAATCTTCGTGTAGATCACAGTCCTCCAAGGCCTTCCTCAAGGGCACCAAAACCTCCTTGATCAGCCGCTGCAGGACTCTGTCGGTGTAATCCGACTCCTCAACACCTAGGTATTCCGGGTAAGATTCTCGCGGGAAAACCTTCTTGGCGATGCTCTCGCAGAGCAAGGTGTTGCGGTTGAAGTCGGAGTCGAAGTCAGGGCACGACAACCCGGCCGAGGTTATCTCCAAGCACTCAGCCGCAGACGTTTCATCCTCATCGTCATCATTGATACTCTGTTGTTGCTGATAGTGTTTGTTCAAGTTTTGAATATCGGGCTTCAAGCAATCGGCGAAAATATCCGAAACGCCATCGTGTAAGATCCGATAATTCGGAAGAAGCGTTATTGGCCTTCCAGGATCTGTAATAGAATATCCAGAGCGGTTTTTAAACTTCCGAAGGACCCGGCGATGGACCCAGCAGTTGCTTCAGTGTCGGTTTCGGAGCACGGCATTATGATATCACGAAAGTGGAATTCCATGTATCCGTCTGGTAAGACGTTGTGAAACAGATCAAGGCAAGGGTTACCGTAGGAAGAGAGGAGCTCGCTGGTCATGTCGCACTTAGGTTTATATCTTGGGAGTTGTGGAAGAGCGACAGAAGGAGGAGGAGGAGCTGCTACTCTTTTGATGTTCAGTTGTGGAGGCGAAGGCGAAGAAGAAGAAGAAGTGTTGCCGAAGACATTGAGATGGTTCTTCCGGCATGCTTTCAGAACCGAAGTGACATACACTTGCACCGGTTTCTTCATCTTCCTTGAATTTTGTGCTTCGAAACTGATATTATTTATTTGGATCAACTATATAAAATCCCCCAAATTTTTAGAGATCATTTCAAATTCATACTCAAATTCACGAAATCCCAATATCCAAGCCCCTCCCTTAGCTTAGCGAGACTCCTATTATTTATTTCAATGAATTTGTCGATTTTGTTTCTTGTGCTCCACTCAATCAGTCAACCTTACTTGGCCTCCAATTATTTGGCAGTTTCTTTTTCCTAGAACCCTTTTGTGCTCCTCCAACATATCATTAGCTCATTCCTCTTGACAAACCCCTCAATGAATACTTATGTATACCAAAAATCTTCTTATTTTTTATTTTGTGCTCTTGCATGTTACTTTGTTAGACCGTCAATTTGAATTGTTTGATTAAATGAACTATTTATTTAAATGTGTGGTGCCATATTGACAATTTAGCTACGTAACATACCTATAGTCTATTCAATGGCAATTCAAGCTCCAATTGGCTTGCCAATGGCAACCAGTTTGGTGATTTCTGTCAGAAAGTTAGATGGGTTGTGGTGGCTTCGTTTGTTACTGTTGTTTCCTTCATGTTCTTGATTCTGCTGTCTGCTGTGGCTCTCCGAAAGCATTGAGACAAGATATGGAAGGGGAAAAGCTCTTCAAAAATGACTGTGAACGCTGTTTGTGATTCTGTTTTGGTGCTTTTCTGCATAAGTGCTTTTTCAATTGTTGTGTGAATTTGGTTGTAGTTCATGTAATTTACTTTGTCTAATGCAAGCGGAAAAAATATTGTAATTGAATTCACTGTTCTTTCTCTACATGCATCCTTTTGTCAACTGGTTTTTCTTTTCCTTGTCTCTTAAATTTTCAACTTATATTAAACATTAAACATCAGTTGCCATTAGTTTTATTCCAATTCTCCAAATTCTACTCCAGAAGAACTGAATTTTGGAACTTCTATACGGTCTATGAATCAAACCTTGACAATGGGGGGGCACGAAACTTGACTATAAGGACGTCTTGAATAAAATCAGGGGCAACGGGCGCACCTCTACCCAATTCACACAAACTAAAAGTCTAGCTAGTCTAAGCTATATGAAGCAACTAAATTAAAACATACCATGGTGACGATCATCAGAGATTTAGTCCACAACCACTAGATTTTGATATCTGGGGTCAGAGATGGCTCTTTCCATGATGACATGGTAAGGGCCAAATTTAATTTTGCCGTCATTGTCCATGAAGGACCTGACCAAATTGTCATTGAAGCCACTCAACATCTCCAGCCCTTCCTGCTGTGCAGAAGCTACATCTGCATCAGTCGAACACCTTCTCAAATTCCAAAACACAATCTGTGGCACCACATCGCCGTACCCTTTGTCCTTGAACTTTCTCTGTATCTCCTCATACTCTGTCTTCCAGCACCCATCAAAGTCATTCTTGCTAGAGAACACGACCACCCTCCTGATCATCTGCTCCGGCTTCAAATCATTCTTCACTGCAACCTCCAAAACCAAATCAAACACCTTCTCAAAATCAACCCCCCGCTCCTCGTACTCCGTCTCCATCCTCAACGCCAACTCCAGCTTGGCCTTGAGATTATCGAGGCCGTTTATCGAATGCAGCTGCGTATTTACACTGCAATTCATCAACTTTCCTTTCCATGGCTCTTCACTCAGCTCAGAGATCATCACTGCCAAAGCCGCCCCCATCGCCACTTTTTCATCTCCGCAGTCTGACTTTAAGCTTACCCAGTTGTCATATACAGCCAAGCAGTTTTTGAACTTGCCCTGCTTTTTCATGTGCTCCACCATTGCCTTCCACTGAAGCTCGGCCACTTCGCCCAAATCCTCCTCCTTCACATAGCGTGCTATGTGATGTGGAAGCAAAGCACAAGCCTTAATCTTCAACTCGCCGGCGGCGGCTGCTGCTTTCACTTTCTCCAAATACTTCTCCACCGCACAGGTCTTGGGCTTGGGCTTGGGCTCGGGGTCCGGATTATAACCCGAACGGTTGACAAGTGTGGAATAGTTGGGGGGCATCAAGGGCTTCCTCAAGGGCACCAAAACCTCCTCCCTCAGCCGCCGCCGGACTCTGTCGGCGTAATCCGCCTCCTCAATGCCTTGGTACTCCGGGTACGATTCTCGCGGGAAAACCTTCTTGGCGATGCTCTCGCAGAGCAAGGTGGCGCGGTTGAAGGGGGAGTCGAAGTCAGGACACAACTTCGCTGCCGAGGTTATCTCCAAGCACTCAGCAGACGTCTCGCCCTCATCGCCGTCATTGATACTCTGCTGCTGTTGCTGATGGCGTTTGTTGAAATTTTGTATGTCGAACTTCAAGCAATCTGCGAACAGATCCGAAACGCAGTCGTGTAAGAACCGATAATCTGGGTCGCTCTGGTGCCTGTCGAGATAGGCGAGGAACTTCTGTCCGCTCCGAGGGACCCCGGTGGTTCTTCCGTCCTTTGAGTGGACAGAGAGATGGAGGCGGCGGTCATGGCGTTGTAGGATCAGGGATAGAATATCCAGAGCGGTTTCTAAACTGCCGAAGGAGCCGGCGATGGACGGGAGGTTGCAGGCCAGGGTCTTGGGGTGGTTGTGGTGGAGCCAAAAAGCCGCAGTGTCGAAACCCATTTTGTAGTTTTTGCCACGGGGAGGACGGTGGTCTAGTAGGTTGCAGATGAGCTTGAAGGTGGTTGTGGGATTGTGGGCCCATGACGCCGGCAGCAGTTGGTTCAGATACTGGAGGGAATGAACGGGGTAGGCGTCGTGTCGTTCGGCGTTGTAAAACAGATCAAGGCAGGGGTTGCCGCGGGAAGTGTAGAGCTTGTTGGCCATGGAGTTGTCGGATAGAGGCGCCATTATAAGCGTCGTTCGAGTTGCAGGAGCAGGAGAAGCAGAAGTATTGCCGACGGCATCGAGATAGTTCCTCTGGCGGCATGCTTTCGGAACCGAAGTGATATAGACTTGCACTGATTTCTTCATCTTCAACTGATGGAGCTTTCAGAGTTTGTTTCTTGTGCTACTCTTCAATGAGGCCTCCAATTAAACATAGAACCAGCAGCTTCCTTGGATTTAGGTTTTTTTGTTTGTTTGAGAATCCTAAACAATTAAAACTATTCAATATATAATCAGGTCTATTTATTTATTTTTCTTATTGTATTTGGAAAAAAAAAATATTACAACAATCTGAACCCTGCTTTGTTACAGAAAAAAAAAATTTGGTATGAATAAGTAAGGGCCTAGTATCCTACTTTGATCTAATTTTATAATTTTAAAAACATATTTTAAGTTCAGAGCCACAAAAATCCGTTTAGTAGGCCTATTTTTAAAAATGAGAATATAGGGTTTCTGATTTTCTAATTTTAATTTCAATCTTTTTAGATCTTAAAAATAGTTTAGAGTTCATTACAAACAAGTTTTTAGATTTTAAAATCACTATTTGAAAACTCATGTTTTTAAAAAGAATCATAATTTTCTTTTTCTTTTTTTAGTAGGATATCAAACCGGGCCTATTGATTGAGGATTTTGTGAAGAAGAAGAGAGGATATTTGAACCCCCAAAATCAACAATCTCAGCATTAATTTCCTACCAAATATATTTCCTGATTTTCTCATCATATTCAGTGCACAAAAAACTAAAGAGTGTGGTCTTAACATTAGTATTTAACATAATTGTTAAAAGATGCTAACAGAAGGGTTTAAGTGTAAGGTTTTTGTGAATTTGGATATGGATGTTTGAAGTTCGGATACCGATTTGAAACGACTTTCCAAATTCTGAAGGTTCTATGTAGTTAATTATTAAAAAAAAAATAATAATAATGGCACCATGAATGATAGGGTTTAGGTGTATGATTTTCACAAATTTAGATATGAGTTTGTTTAGTTTTCCAAGTTTGAATACCAATTTAAAATAATTCTCAAAATTAATTAATTCAAATAAAATGGCACGATGATTGTGGTTTTAACTAAAAAGTTAGGTTTATTCTGGGTTGTGGTTAAGGCTTAAAGGTGCTACTCATAGTTGGGACCCATCCAGAACCACCTTGTGGTTCAGACAAAAATAAAAATAAAAATTAGGTTTAACACTTTTTCAATAAATATTTAAATTAAGAATTAATTATATATTTTTAATTTCGATTATTGAATTGCATACATTAATTATATAAGTAGATTATACCGTCTAGGTTTTTTATAGGTTGACCACAAGAATCTACAAAGTTAGACTTTTATTTTTATTTTTTCTGTTGTCTTTTTGGAGACATTGGACCATGGTACGCATGTGTCTGACAAAATGGGCCTCGAAGCCCACAACACAACCGAGATGGCGAGGACATTATTGTAATTTGACAATAATAAGTAAGCGCAGCAAATCTGTGTAACTCCATTGGAACAGTGTTCTTCCATCACACGCTTACTCTCTCTCTCTCTCTCTCTCTCTCTCTCTCTCTCTCTCTCCATTCCCTTAGCTTCTGTAACTTTCCCGGGAAATAAAACGGAAAATTCAAAGGGAAATCACCTCTAGGGTTTAAGGTTGTTCTCCGCCAATCAAAAATGTCTCAGACGGGGAAATTGATGCCAAATCTCGATCAGCAAAGCACCAAAATGCTCAATCTCACAGTGCTGCAGAGAATCGATCCCTTCATCGAAGAGATTCTGATTACGGCCGCGCATGTAACCTTCTACGAATTCAACATCGAGAGCAATCAATGGGTTCGTTTCTCAATCGTATTTCACTTCTCCGCTTGGTTGCCGAGAAAATTAAGTGAAACATAAGAAGATGCAAGGGTTTTCAGAATTAAACCAAATTAATAGTTGACTTATTCTACTGGTTACATTAATATCTAATAGTTTTCAAAATATGTTTGGGTTTTTGCAGAGTCGCAAGGATGTTGAAGGGTCTCTCTTTGTTGTTAAAAGGTAAATAATTCTTTTTTGGGTGATTGTTTTGTATCTGTTTTGGTAGCAAGCTTGCATTTTGTTCCTTTAAAATTTTGAGTGAATTTTGCTA